AGGGGGAGTGGGAGAGGGAGAAGCAGGCTTCCCGCCGAGCAGGGAGCCCGATGCGGGGCTCAATCCCAGGACCCTGGGATCACGACCTGAGCCGAAGGCAGTCGCTTAACCAACTGAGCCACCCAGGCGCCCCAACAGCCCACTGTATTTTAAAGAGATTTGAAAATAGGAAGTCATTTTTAATTTACACATATACTTATTCTGGTGCTCTTAATTCCTTTGCATAGATCAGGAGTCTCCAACCTACAGAACATGAGCCAAATATAGCCTACCATCTGTTTCTAGATGAAGTATAATAGGAATGCCGCCACACCTATATTTAGGTACTTTTGATCCGATAAGGACATATTGGAATAACTGTAACAGAAACAGTATGGGCTACAAAGAATAAAATATCTACTATCTGTTCCTTACATAAAAAGTTTGCCAACCTTGCACACACAGTTACATTCTCATCACATCTGAATTAGTATAAAATTTGGTATATTAAACATAACTAAAAAGTCAATTTTGTAGTCAAATATTAGGCACTGGTAACACAAGATTGGTCTCAATTGGAAGAGTAAAACTAGGAATAAATGGGAATCAGTAGGTCTTGTACTCATGAGGAAAACATATGAAATATGTGTTGTTACTATTCAGTTTGAAAGTACAATATTATATGGTAAAAAATAATTATGATATGGACATTGAAGATATAACTGAGGTGTAAAAGACCCACCAGTTTTACTTGATGCACATTCATAAGTGGAAATAGCAATATACCCCTGGCTGGCTACAGGGGTGTAGACAACAGGAAAAGTGTGTATCTTAAGAAGTCCTGGGATCAAACCTCTCAGATAGTGGTTTTTTTTGTTTGTTTGTTTGTTTTTTTAAGATTTTATTTATTTGACAGCAAGAGAGAAAACACAAGCAGGGGGAGTGGGAGAGGGAGAAGCAGGCTTCCCGCCGAGCAGGGAGCCCGATGCGGGGCTTGGTCCCAGGACCCTGGGATCATGACCTGAGCTGAAGGCAGACGCTTAACGACTGAGCCACCCAGGCGACCTGTCCTCTCAGATAGTTTTGACAAATGGTATTTACTATCTTTCCATTAATTCATTACCCCACCCCTGCGTTCTCTTGGTAGTGGTAAGGCTGCCATAAAGAAATATGTGCATTCTCCAAACAGGTCATCATTATTTTGGATCTATTACGTATCATCTTAAGTACTCTGGGGAATTTTGTTAAAATTTAAAAAATTTTAACTATAAGGAGTCCCAGATTTTATTTTATTTTATTTTATTTTTTAAAGATTTTATTTATTTATTTGAGAGAGAGAGAATGAGAGATAGAGAGCACGAGAGGGAAGAGGGTCAGAGGGAGAAGCAGACTCCCCGCTGAGCAGGGAGCCCGATGTGGGACTCGATCCCGGGACTCCAGGATCATGACCTGAGCCGAAGGCAGTCGCTTAACCAACTGAGCCACCCAGGCGCCCAGGAGTCCCAGATTTTAAATGTCTCCAGTAGAAGCTTACTATTTCACCAAGCCACATACGGTAGCCACAATTGCGGTAAATATGTTCCCATTCTGACAATCTTCTGTTTCCTCTATCTACTCGCCCTTATTTGTATTTGCATGATACACTTTCAGTGATTCTGCTCAAATGTCACCTGATCATATGGGCATTGCCAGAAAACTGTTTAAATTAGGAAACCCTACAAGTCTATCACCGTACATGAACATACTTACGAACTTAGCATTATCATTTTATCCTTATAGACTTATCCCTTATGGAATATAAGTAAACATGTAATTGTGTTTGTGGGACCAAATTCCCTATTCCTGTAACTTTCTAACTTAGTATTCTGAACATTTTGTCATAAATTCTCATGCTATATTTTGTTCACATTGTGAATTTTAGGCAACATGTGCCAAACAGCTCTAATTCATCAGTGAAGGGATTATTTTTTTAAGATTTATTTGGGGAGGGGGAAGGGCAGAGAGAGAGGGAGAATCTTGGGCACACTCCCTGATGAGTGCAGAGCCTGATGTGGGACTGTCTCGTGACCCTGAGATCATGACCTGAGCCAAAATCAAAAGCTGGATGCTTAACTGACTGAGCCACCCAGGCGCCCCTGAAGGGATGTTTTAATAAAGCTTTTCTAAGCTACAAAATTTTAAATTCAGGAACCCCTTTCAAATGTTCCATTCTACGTAGATCTCAATACAAAATATGAATCTTATTTGTCAGGACAGTTTTTGTGAGTGACAGACCTCCTGGAAAACAGTGGCTGAAACAAGTAGGTGGTTTATCATTTCCCAAGTAACAGGAAGCCCAGAGTTGTAGTGTTGGATGTGACAGGTCCCCTGGGCAGTTCTCTGCCTGCTCTACCTCCTTTAGCAGCCTTCTCTCCTTATAGCAGGACGGCCACTGTATGACCGATGGTGAATGGTGAGGGGCAAAGCCCTTTTCATCATTAGGTTTTGTCTTGCTTATGTGGAAATGATAACCCTAGTAAGTTTTTCCAATTAGCTAGAAATTTTAATAATGCAATTCTTAATAAGGATATTAGGGATTTTTCAAATCTCATATTCACACCTAAACAACAGAAGGTAAAAGAAAAAGGTGTTAGAGAAAACATTTTGCAGACCAAATTAAAAATACCCCTTATTAATATTAAATGACAAGGTAGTCAAGGGTAACTGGGAAGAGACAGATTTTATCAGCGGACTTTGTTCTTTATCCTTAAAGTATGTTCCATGCAACCCATGACTTGATAGGTGTTGCAAACGAGATTCAAAAATTACTAGTTCAGCGTTTTCTAACTTAAAGATTTATTTCCTTTGAAATTTATTATAAGTTAATTTATCTGAACCTAAAACTAAAATAATTTGCCAAGTTTCAATACAGATATTCTGATTCTAGTATCTTGGTAGAGAAATGAAAGGACTGATTTTGAGATTCCATTCATTCCATTCTACCTTAAAGTGAGAGATCTACAAAAGGCTTGTAGATGGGACACACTCTATCACTTCCACATGTATTTTAATATTAGACTCTAACTTAACAATATAACTGTGACATCATAAGTGGAAAAATACCTTAGGTAATTTATCTAAACAGTATTTCACCATTTTCATCAATCATATTGTGCTGCGGGGTCTGTACGTGCACCAGGAAAACGAAGGTAGTGTGTTAGCATGAGGAAGACTGTGGTCTTTCCCTACAAGTCAGGAGTAAACAGCTAGTCTGACTCCATTTTTGATGTCTGACGAACGATACCTGTTAGGCCTCATTATAACCTCTTACTATGCTGCCCATCTGGGCAGGGCAAGCTCATAAAGCCCGAGAGCCCCTTCCCTTGGCATTAGTTGAAAGTTCACACCATAAGTGAGTGCCATCACCCCAGCCCCACATAGTATCCATCATAACGAGCCAGTCATCATTCCCTGTGTTCTCTAGCCATTTTTAGAACAACCTGAGGAGGTCTATCCTGCTCTCTCCAGAAAGCATCATTATGTAATAAACGTTCTCATAACACTTTATTGTATGAAGTCCTCATTCATGACATCCAAACATCCTCTTCCAGTGGAGTAAGCACAAGTGCAAACTAGCAAAAAATGTTTTAGAGGGTAAATATATGAAACAGCTAGTTATCAAAAGAATCCCATTGTGTCAATCTTCGTTCTTGAGAGTAAACTTGACGAACACTGATCTTTTCAACTTATTTCCCTCAGCACTCCAGCACAAAAGAGATTATCTTTATTTCTGAAATCTTCTTTTATTTCCTAGTACTTTTCACATGCTTACTATTTTTCTATTTTCATTTCATGTAAAGGTGCAACCCATGGGTCCCATTTCAGCACAAAAGAAAGGCATGTAGAAATGTAATCGTACAGTGCGTGTTCATGAACAGGGAGGCAGGTTTTTAGAGGGTGAGAGTTTGAAATTGTGTAGCTTTCAAATTGAAATTATGAATATGTACTTCCAAGACTGTAAGGTGTGTGAATCTAACATGGAAAAAAGTTGTTAGGGATGACATTCAACTTAGGGAGCCCAAGGATGTATTATTAGTGTTCACTATAAAATGCCCCGATGAGGTGTGGGATGCACTTGGGCTAATAAAAGGCACGTGGTTCCTTCAGTGTTACAAAAAAGGGTTTCTATTTTACTTATTTAGATATGAGAATTTATAATATCCTAAATAAAATGGTATCAAAATGCAATTTCAGTGGCCAAATTTGAATCCTTCACAAGCGTACTACTCTGGTTCTTTTGATTAAAATGTCCTCTAGAACTTTCTCTTCAGTTTCCAAAATTAAGACTAATTTCTACTAATCCATGATACACAACTATTACCTTTCAAAAGAGAGATCATCATTCCCCCTCCATTTTCTCTACCACATATGCCAACCCCAGTCACCTGTCCTACTCACATGACAATCTCATCCTCAGGGTCCTGGCCTACGCTGTTTTATCATCTTCCTTCCCTGTAATCATCAACGAAGGCCCTCAGTCATACCACCAAATCCAGAGAAGAGGCTGTGATCACAGAAAACATGGCAACTTAGGTAACAGTTTTACACTATTCCCTGCCACTCCCTATGCTCTCAAACTTAACACCATACCGTATCTTAAAATCAGGGTCCTAGGTTTTCCTGGTTACATAGGTATGAATAAGCCCCAGCTAATGAACTAGGTCCTTTCACCTTTCCGATCCCTTCTGAGACCATCACGGTGACACATGAAATGCGTGTGATTAAAGTATAACATCAGTGGGTTCCAAACTTCAGGTTGTAAGTCATCAATAATAATGCAGCCTCAGGAAACCTCAAGTAATTGAGTAAAAAAAAATATATAGTGGCTTCTGGCTGGCTCAGCCAGAAGAGCAAGTGGCATCTCTTGATTTTGGGGTTGTGAGTTTGAATTCCACATGGGGTGTTGATATTACTTAAACTATTTTAAAAAATGATAAGCTGAAGATAATTACGTCTTTCCACAGATACCCTTGTTCTGTTGATACATATCATCTCATTAGTTTTAAGTAATTTAAATTTACTGTGGAATTTAACATCTAAGATTGGTTAATCCTCAAAATAGACCTACTTCCCCTAGTATGAATTTTCTTATTGTAGTCCATTGAGAGAATTGGCTAAATAAATTATCACCTTCATTATATTTGTAATGTTTCTGTCCAGTATGAATTCTTTGGTGTTTCCTGAGGTAAGGACCTTGACACATTTATATGGTTTCCATCTCATATGAATTTTCATGACCACAAAGTTGTAGTTTTTTTTTCTTTAATCACTGGAAATTTGTACCTCTTAGTCACACTCCCCTATTCCTCCCCCCCAAGCTGTACATTTTTTTATAAAGCTGATCACACTCACTACATTTGTAAGGTTTCTATCTAGTAAGAACTGTTATGTTCCACAAGGTATAAACTTTGGATAAGCCTTGCCATACATTACATTTGTGTGCTTTCTTTTAGAGATTTATATTGTTATCAAGTGAGGTGTAAACCCCTGGTTACAGGCTTTGCCACATACATTAGTTTCATATGGTTCCTCTCCATGATGGAATACTGATGTTGAATAAGGCTTGAACACTTGCTTAATCATTTTATTTGTAAGGTTTCTTTCTACTGTGATTTCTTTGATGATCCCCAAAGCTTGAGCTTTGAATAAAACCACTGCCACACATACTAGATTTATAATGTTTCTTTTCACCATGTATTTTCTGATGCCTAGTAAGTTTTGCAAACTGGGTGAAAGCTTTGCCACACTCATTACATGTATAAGGCTTCTCTCCAGTGTGGATTTTCTTATGCTGAGTAAGATGTGAACGCTCCGTAAAGGCTTTGCCACACTCATTACATTTATAAGGTTTCTCTCCAGTATGAGTTCTCTCATGACCCCAAAGGTGAGAACGTTTAATAAAAGCCTTATCACATTTATTACATTTATAAGGTTTTTCTCCTGTGTGAATTCTTTGATGTTCCATAAGGCTTGAACTTTGGATAAAAGCCTTGTCACACACATCACATTTGTGTGGTTTCTCTCCAGTGTGTATTTTCTGATGCCTAGTAAGGTTTGCAAATTGGGTAAAAGCTTTGCCACACTCATTACATTTGTAAGGTTTCTCTCCAGTATGGATTTTTCTATGTTGAGTAAGATTTGAACGCTCAGCAAAGGCTTTGCCACACTCAATACATTTGTAAGGTTTCTCTCCAGTATGAGTTCTCTCATGACCCCACAGGTGTGACCGTCTGATAAAAGCCTTATCACATTTATTACATTTGTAAGGTTTTTCTCCTGTATGAATTCTCTGATGTTCTATAAGGCTAGAACTTTGGATGAAAGCTTTGCCACATACAGTACATTTGTGTGGCTTCTCTCCAGGATGTGTATTCTGATGTCTAATGAGGTGTGAGCACTGCTTAAAAGCTTTGCCACACTCATTACATTTGTAAGGTTTCTCTCCGGTATGGATTTTCTTATGTTGAGTAAGGCTTGAACGTTCAGCAAAGGCTTTGTTACATTCATTACATTTATAAGGTTTCTCTCCAGTATGAATTCTCTCATGACTCCAAAGGTGGGAACGCTGGATAAAGGCCTTACCACATTCATTACATTTGTAAGGTTTCTCTCCAGTATGCATTCTCTGATGATTTGCAAGGTTTGAATTTTGACTACAGACCTTGCCACATATGTTACATTTATATGGTTTCTCTCCTGTATGGACTCTCTGATGTCTAGTGAGGTTCGAACACTGGTTAAAGGCTTTGCCACACTCATTACATTTGTAAGGTTTCTCTCCAGTATGGATTTTCTTATGTTGAGTAAGGTGTGAACGCTCCGTAAAGGCTTTGCCACACTCATTACATTTGTAAGGTCTCTGTCCTGAATGAATTCTCTCATGACTCATGAGGTTTGAGCTTTTGCTAAAAGCCTTCCCACAGTCATTACAGTTGTAAGATTTTCCTCTAGTGTATGCTCTTCTGTATTGTGCAGGTAACAAAGGATATTTTAAAATCTTCCTATATTTATTCCAAATGTTTTTGATATTAGATGGAATTCTCTGAAGTGGTGAAACAGAGGAATCGTTCAAAGATTTCTCAACCTGATTACATTCATACATTTTTTCCTCAGTATGAAATCTCTGCAGTTCAGCCAGGTGTGCCTGCAAACTTAATCCAATTCTATTTCCCAAACAGTTTATGTACCAATTTCCAGCATCACTTATGTTATTTTCCAGTTTTAACAAATGCCTTACAGATGGCTCATCAGGCATGAAATATTGGTATGTATTATTTTTTACAGAAATACTCTGCTTTTGAGGAAAAGTAATTGAGGATTTATTAAGCTGTTGATCTTTTCTATGAGTGAGATTTTTGTTATGTGTCAAAGGCACTTCTTTGTAATTTCTTGCATCATATCTCCAGTGACTCTCAAACTCATGCATATTTTCCCAGTCTTTCTTGAGATCAAAATCCTTGATGCTATGGCTTTCATTTCTCTCCAGTATCACTAAGTGGTATAATTCTCCTTCATTAATGTCCTCTATTGGTGGTAATTCCTTGATTTCAAATCCAGCAGAAAGGCATCCTATCAAATAGAAGGTAAATATTTTATACTGAATTACATACTCATACAAAAAACATGCTTATAGTGAACATAAGAAATTTCTCAAGCACAGTCTTCAAACACTATTATAATATACAAACACTACTGTAATATATACTGTTTTTAAAGTTTTCTTTTTATAAATTTTTCCATATTCTCTGATCTTAAGATAAGTTTTCTAAACATACATTATAAACTATACATATTTTTTGGCCAGATACCTGGATAATTGATACTTCGTGATTAGGGAGCTGATCTATATACTGGCTGTTATATAACTGTACATGAGATCATAATTGAGGTTTCTGTCTTCCCTAATTCTTAATCTTTATAAAAATGTGTTTACCTGAACCTGTTATTTCATAATTCAGTGATTCTCAACATGTCTTTCATTTCTCCTACTGTGTGTTCCTTATGGAAGGTAAATTCTTTTAGTTCTCAGGGAAGAATTCTTTAGAATTCCAGAGACTATTATTTTGTGTAACTGGTTACTTAACCTGCTAGATTTATCAACTGTTTAATTTTAACACACAGTTTTCTTAAAATACCTTTTTTCTTTCATCATACCCCATACATTATTATTAAACACCAGATCACACTGCTGTACTGAGCAAGGTGTACTGCGTATGAATAGGGGTCTTTCCTTGTCTGGGTGATGTGGTGTGGAGAGGGGCAAGTCCTGTGGAAACAGGTGCTTTGGTGCTCAAAATTAATATACCAGGAGATACCAGTAGTTTGTTTAGATCAATGAAAAATCTGAGCAAAGGCCAGGATTTGGGTTCAGAAAAGCAAGAGTGAAGCACAAGGAGTAACAGGAAAAGTGGGAGCAGTGCTTGTGCTTGCACATCTATGGTGATATGATTGTGTTTTAACAGTTAAAAGCCTGACCTTGAAAAAAGAGAGGAGCCGATTTGGCAACAGGAAGAATACTGACTCATTCTGTAAGAACTTACACTATGGGTATGAGGTGAAAGTGGAAGACATTCAACAGGGAGACAGTATGGTCTTATAGGAAGATTGTAGGCTTGCATTTATTTCAGTATTGGCTCCAAAAACTATCAAACTGTGGAGCACCTGAGTGGCTCAGTCAGTTAAGCATCTGACCCTTGATTTCGGCTCAGGTCATGATCTCAGGGTCATGGGACTGAGCCCCATGTTGGGCTCCACACTCAGCACGGAGTCCGCCTGGGATTCTCTCCCTCTTCCTCTGCCCCTCCCCCTATCTCTCCACCCCAGCTCACACCTCTCTAAAAAAATCAAACTGAATATCCCACAAATTCCATTTCTAGGTATATAGTCAAGAGAGTTATACATAATATATATATATATATATATATATATATATATACACATATATATGTATACACACACACTATATGAGATATATATAGATATATTCCAGACACATTTAAGAATGTTCTTAACAGGACCCCCAAAAAGCAAAAACCTGGATATGGCTATCAAGAGGAGAATGGATAAACTCACTGTATAAACACATGCAGATACAATAAAATACTCTCAAAGGTACAGCAATGGAAGATGATCATGGGTACTGGATGACTGACAATCTTCTGGCTAGGGGCACGAAGGTTATATGGTGGAAAATAAGTTAGCAGGAAGCTTTTGCCAAGGTTTAAATTCTTTGGGGATGTTATTATATTTGGTAAAAAGGTGACATTAACTAAATTATATACTTTTAAAAAGAGAAACAACAATTTATATAAGATTTTTAATCCAAATGTCCTTGCTTGTTACAGAAAAATAACAATGTCTTTTTCTGGAATTTGTAAATTATCTGAAATCATAATCTTCTTTTAACATTACAATCCCAGACATACAAGAGACATCAGGTGAGAAGTGCTTTTAACTAGATGTGTGTGTTGTGTGTGTACATAGTTACATAATCTGACTTCAAAAACATCATCAGAAATTAGTGCCCCTAAGGAGCATTACTAAATGATCTAGAACACAGAATGTTTATATGGAAGGACAATGTTAATAGCAGTATTTAAACATAGAAACAATTTTTGGCTGTGTCACCGTGGTCCATGGCAGAGGTCTATGTGCATAGATGTGGTTAGCAACATAAGCAGCCAATCACAGAAAATCAGGACAGCAATGGGATGTGTGTCAACAAGGACCAGGTGACTTTTTTTATGGAGTTCAGTTGAAAATGAGGACAGGAACAAAGCAGGCTTCATGGGTTTACTGAGATACGTAATTTCAAGAGCTTAAGAAATTTTCTGGGAAACCCAAGTACTAGGAGCAGTAGTAATAAGGAAACCATAGAGTATAAAAAAACTTCCTTTGTTTCCTTCAATAAAATGAGATATCTAAATATTAGATTAGTATACCAAGATGTACATGATGAATCTAAACAAGAATATTAGAATAAATTATTTGTAACAAGAAAAAGTAAAATGAAAATTAAATTCAAAAGTTATTTTCAGAAAACTACATATAAAGGGAAAAAATAATGTATCTTATACAGAAAGCTAAGGCAAGTCAATTGAATGGTATTTCTGTGACTAAGGCAGTAACTTAAAAAGTATGTCCTCAACATACCACAGTTTATCAGCTTAAAGAATGTCATATATTTAACTGAGGAAAATGTGTGTTAAACAATGAGATACCACTACACATTTATGAATAGCCAAAATCCAGAACACTGAAATACCAAATACTATGGAGGATGTGGAATAATAACTCTCATTCATTGCTGGTGGGAATGCAAAATGGTATACCACTTTCTTATAGAATTAAATATACTCTTAAATATGATCTAGCAATCAAACTCTTTCGTATTTATACAAATAAGTTGAAAATTTATGTCCATGTAAAAACCTGGGCACAAAATAGAGAAATCCTACAATCTGTATGGAACCACAAAGGACCCTGAATGGCCAAAGCATCTTGAGAAAGAAGAACGAAGTTAGAGGCATCACGTTCCCTGATTTCAAACTCCTTCATTACAAAGCTGTGGTAATTAAAACAATATGGTATTAGCATAAAAACAGACACAGAGATCAACAGAAGAGAACCCAGAAAGAAACCCACACACACAGTCAATTAATTTATGACAAAGGAGACATGAATATACAATGGGGAAAGGACAGTCTCTTCATGGTATTGGGAAAACTGGACAGCCACATGCAAAAGAATGGAACTGGACCACTATCTGATACCATACACAAAAATTAACCCAAAATAGATTAAAGACATGAACTTAACACCTGAAACCATAAAACTCCTAGAAGAAAAGATAGGGGGTAATAAGCAACTTGACACAGGTCTGGGCAATGATTTTTTCTCACTCTTGACACCAAAAGTAAAAATAAGTGGGACTTACATCAAACTAAAAAAATTCTGCACAACAAAGGAAACCATCAACAAAATGAAAAGGCAACCTACTGAATGGGAGAAAATATTAGCAAATCATGTATCTGATTAGGGGCTAATAATCCAAAATAATAGCTAAAAGCCCCCAAATAATCCAATTTAAAATAGGAGCAAAAGATCTGAATAGACATTTTCCAACAAAGACATACAGAACCATGAAAAGAAGCTCAACATCACTCATCATCAGGGAAATGCAAATCAAAACCACAATGAGATACCACTTCACACCTGTCAGAATGGCAGTTTATCAAAAAGACAAGAAATAAAAGTGTTGGTGAGGGGATGGAGAATTTGTGCACTCTTGGTAGGAGTCTAAATTGGTGTAGCCAGTATGGAAAACGGTATGGTCATTCCTAAAAAAATAAAAAACAGAACTACTGTATGATCCACCAACTCTTCTGAGTATTTATCTGAAGAAAACAAAAACACTAACTCAAAAAGATAAACTGTTCACTGCAGCACTATTTATAAGAGCCATGATATGGAAACAGTCTAAGTGTCCACTGATGGGTAAAGATGTGTATATACAATACAATATTATCCAGCCTAAAAAAAAGAATAGAATCTTGCCATTTGTGACAACATGGATGGTCCTTGAAGACACTATGCTAAGTGGAATAAGTCAGCCAAAAAGCCCAATACAGTATGATCTCTCTTATATGTGGACACTATCATCTTCTCAGAGGGTTACTGGAAGGTGGCTTCCTTGGCAAGATGAAGTGACTCTGTGTCCTCTGGACCCAACATTGTCAGTAGTGAAACATTTCTGTCTTGGTCAAAACAGGTAATATGATCTTATATATTGAAATTTACTTTTGTAAACAGGAAGAGAAATACTGAAATAGGAAGAACATGGCCAGTAAAGCACAGCGGGGGGGGGGGCAGTGTCCAAGGGGAGCATCGTGGGTGTTGTGACCCACATGACTATTTGTATGAACACAGTTCCAAGAGGCTGCAGGTGGAACTGATCTGAGTTGAAACAAAAGTGCTCCCAAATGTGCCTAAGTGCCTTTCATCCTGGAAAGTTAAGATTGAGAAATTTTTAGCATTTAACCTCAAATCCTCCCAGTCATGAAAATCCATTTTCGGATTGTTATTGTAGACCCTACAGGAACCTAGTTTACAAACAAAATCTCAATAAAAATTATCTCCTGCAGCCTTTAAACTCAGCCTTCAAGAAAGTCAAACGAGAACCCCCAGAATGGAAGAAAATATTTGCTAATCATGTATCATCAGATACATGCAAGAGACTTGCATCTAGAATATATAAAGAACTCTTTAAAACTCAACAACAAAAAGACAATCCAATTTTAAAATGGACAAAGAATCTGAAAAATATAGAAAAATGGCCAGTAAGCACACAAAAAGATGACTATCATTAGTCATTAGGGAAGTGCAAATCAAAACCAGAATGGCTATAATCAAGGATGGCTATAATCAAGGAAACAGATTACAAGTGTTGGTAAGGATATGGAGAAACTGGAATGCTCATACATCCCTGGTGGGAATGTAAGATGGTGCTGTTGCTTTGGAAAATAGTCTGGCGGTTCCTCAAAAGATTAAAGAGAATTACCGTATGAACCAGCAGTTCCACTCCCAGCTATATGCTAAAGAGAAATGAAAAGTGTATGTCCCCACAAAAACTTGTACAAAAATGTTTATAGCAGCATTATTCATAATAGCAATAAGGTAGAAACAACCCAAATGTCCATCGATGCATGAATGGATAAAGTGTGGTATTCATACATGGAATATCATGTGGCAATAAAATGGAATGAAGTGCTACAAAAACCAAATAGTGCGCGCACACACGCGCGCGCGCACACACGCGCGCGCGCACGCACACACACACACACACACACACACACACACACACACACACCTGCATATGAATGTTTATAGCAGCTCTACCTGTAATTGCCAAAACTTGAAAGCCAGCAAGGTGTCTTTCAGTAGATGAATGGAGAAATAAACTGTGGTTCATTCAGACAATGGAAATATTATTCATTCAGCACTAAAAAAGAAATGAGCTGTCAAGCCAGGAAAAGACATGGAGGAAACTCAAATGCATGACAAACTGAAAAGGCTACATATCCAGTTTGATTCCAACTTTATGACATTCTGGGAAATGCAAACCTATGGAGACAGTAGAGATCCATGTTTGCAGAGGCTAGGAGGGAGGGCGAGATGACCATTTTATTGCTGGCTCAAAGGAGATGATCATATTATGTCTGATCAACACTGTCACTGCCTTAGGGCAGCACTGTTAAACTGCACAGAAACTAGGACAACTCGAGGCATGTTATCACTCCGATCTGACACCTTCTATCTCAGTACCCTGGGACATGCGGACCACTCCATCTGGTGGGTTCAAGGAGCACTTCTTTATGCAGCAGCATGATATTGTAACACACTCATCAATGTTCTTCTTCAAGAATTTTGTTACCCAGTAAACCTCCTCCATGGGAGAGTCCACTGTGAAGCTGTGTGTCCCCTAAAGGTGGATTCTCACAGCAGGAAGAGAGGATGAAACTTTAGACCCTTGGAACTGGATTTCATAAAAGCAAGTTTCAGAGGCAAAATCTTAGAGGAGAATAAGAAACCAGGAAGACCAGGGTCTTCTATGTTCCAGGACTAAGTAGGGAGCAGAAGAGGGAGAAAAATACAAGATACAGGAGTAAATAAGAGGGTCAAATTTTGTGGGGTTCTTGAAAGGGGCTGTGTGCTCTACCCAGAAGGCAGGGTGAATGCCTGAATGACTGGGCTATACCCCCATACGGCAGTGGGGATCAGAGAGCATCTGTCTCTAGTCTTTAGATTACTGCTGGGCCACAATCTCAGAAAGACCCACCCCATTTCTTTTTAGACACGAATGGCAAAATGAGAACTGGAGAAATGGCTGAGGGGCCTGAACAGGCAGAGAGGGCTTGACACAGCTCCATGAAGTGTCATGGAGCCCCAGGGCAGCCATTTTGTTTGTCTCTTGATAAGTTCTCCCAAGGATATAAAATGGAAATGGAAATTGAATAGGTCCTGGGGTCAGCACTACAGAGGCCTCAGCTCTAATCTGTATGGAATGAGAACCAAGAGAAATCAAGGGGAAAGACTCCTTAGAGGCAGCCATCTCAGTCCCTCTCAAACCATGGCACCAATATGGTCAGAAGGGCCAGGTAAGAATGTTGCAGGTCATGACAATGGGAGTCTAAACTTTTACATATTTGATTTACACATTTGAATAACAGACTGAGAAGTGTGTATGGGGTGGGGGGAGGGTTTTCTTTGAGAGCTCATAAGAAACTTCTTTATTTTCCCATAGATCTTTCCCAAACAATATTTAATGGAGAAGCTTACTCTGCCCATCTGACCTCCTACTTGTGTTCACATCCCAACGCATTCCCACCTGTCTGCATTTCCCCCTATATTCACTTCACTTTCCACAGTCCAGGGCTCTTCCCCTTGTTCCAAAATGGAGATAACATTCAGCTCAAGAGACTTCAAATTATAGAGAAAAAAGAACATGATATGCTTTGCTCTTCCAGAACATATTCCCGGCTCTTTGTTCAGTGAAGAAGAGAGGACATTCATTATATGTGGGCGTAGAAAAGTAGTTCAGAAATTAGTCAACTGCCTCCTTCTGAATGCTTGGGGTTATTTTATGTATGCAGATATTTAGTTCTCTTCCAAGAACTACTGAATCAAAAGCACAAGGATAAGACCACAGAATCAGGTATTTTTTAAAAATTCACTGTAGGGTTTTCTGACTATTAATGTTCTGCAATCACCTAATGAAGCAGGAAAACGCAAAACTTCTGAAGAAAAGGAAAGTTAGCGTCCACTTGACATTTTGAAGCCTTTCCATTCTCAATCAAAACAGCTTCAATCACTCCCTTAAGAACAGGGATTTGAAACTCATACAATCAAGTCAGGGGCTCTAAAGAGAAAATGCAAAAATATACAAAAGTAATTACCGACTTCTGGAGGAAAACTATCCTCACCCAGGGAGACCAGGTTCCAGTAGTTCTCCACCATCACGTCCCTGTACAAGGCCCGCTGAGCAGGGTCCAGGCACTCCCACTCCTCCGGAGAGAATTCTATGGCCACATCCCTGAAGGTCACCCGTCCCTGAAATGAAAACACATTTCACCAAGCGGAGAGACAGAGTGTTCTGATTTTGACACAAAAGAAGCAGAGATGTGTAAAGTCTGACTTGACTGGAGTGAGTGTTCCAACTGATCTGTGTAAGATAATTCTGAGCAAGTTATAGTTCTCTAATTTTCTTACGTGAAACTCAACACAATTAGCCATTTTTAGATACCATTCGGTGGCATTTAATACATTCACAGTGTTGAACAAACATCACCTCAGTCTAGATCAAAAACATTTTTATCATTCCCAATGGAAATCCTTTACCCATTAAGCAAGTGCTTCCTATTCCCCCTTTCTTCCCCAGTCCCTGGCAACCACTAATGCTTTGTCTCTATGGATTTACCTATTTTGGATTTTTCATGTAAATGGAATGGTATAAAATGTTACTTTTTTGCATCTGGCTTCTTTGACTTGGAATCATGTTTGGGGTTCATCCATGAGGTAGTATGTATCAGTACATTGCTTTTTTATATGGCTGAATAGTATTCCATCATAGGACTAGACTGTATTCACTATCTATCGATGGGCATTTGGTTATCACCTTTGGCTAATGTTAATAATGTTGCTATGAACTTTCAAGTACAAGTAGATGTTTGGATACCTGTTTTCAATTCTTTTGGTTATATACTTAGGAGTGGAATTACTGGGTCACATGGTTTAATTTTTCAAGAATCTGCCACTGGTTTCCACAGCAGCTACAACATTTTAACAGAATGTGTCATGATTCTAATTTCTCCCCATCTTTACCAACACTTTTTGTTTTACTATTCTCATCCTAGTGGGTGTGAAATGGTATCTCATTGTGGTTCTGACTTTGCATTTCACTAAGGACTAATTTCATTGAACCTCTCTTCAGTGGCCTGTTTCGGTTGTTTATTTTCTATGGAGAAATGTCTATTAAAATCCTTTAACCATTTTTAAAAATTGGGTTCTTTTTATTTTGGTTGTTGAACTGTAGAAGTTCTTCATATATTCTAGGTTCTAGACCCTTACTAGATACGTGATTTGCAAACTATTTCCTCCCATTTGGTAGATTATGTTTCACTTATGTGATAATGTCCTTCAGTGCACAAACATTATTAATTTTGATGATGACCACTTTATCTATTTTCTTTCTCTTTTGCTTTTGGTGTCATATATTAAACCCACTGCCAACTCCAAGGTCATGAAGACTTACCTCTATGTTTTCATCCAAGAGTTTTAGTTTTAGCTTTTACATTTGGTCTTTGATTAATTCTGAATTATTTATATGGTACAAGGTAGTTTCAATTTTATTCTCTTTCACATGGATATCCAGTGTGCCAACACCATTTAAGAGTGTTCTTTTTCCACTGTTTTTGGCACCCTTATAAAAAAGGAATTGGCTATAGATGTATGGGTTTATTTATGGATGCTCAGTTCTATCGCTTTGATCTATACTTCTAGCCTCTGCTGGAGTTACAGTTTTGATTACTCAAGATTTGTAGTAAGGTTTGATGTTGGGGGGCGCCTGGGTGGCTCAGTTGGTTAAGCGTCTGCCTTCGGCTCAGGTCATAATCCCAGAGTCCTGGGATCGAGTTCCACGTTGGGCTCCCTGCTCAGCAGGAAGCCTGCTTCTCCCTCTCCCACTCCCTCTGCTTGTGTTCCCTCTCTTGCTATGTCTCTGTCAAATAAATAAAATCTTTAAAAAAAAAAAAAGTTTGGTGTTGGGAATTCTAGGTCCTCCAACCTTGTTCTTTCTCATGTTAATTTTGGTTATTTTTGGTCCTTACCAAATCAATGAGTTTTAGAATTTGTGCAAAAAAGGCTGTTGAGATTTTGCTGGGGATTGCATTACTCTTTATCTCACTTTGGGGAGTACTACCATCTTAATGTCTTCCAATCCACAAACACAGGCTATCTTGACATTTATTTAGGTTTTAATCTTTCTCTGCAACTTTGTAGTTTTCAGTGTGTACAAATCTTCCATTTCCTTGGTTAAACTTATTCCCATCCATTTTGATGCTCTTGTAAATGGAATTGTTTCCTTACTTCCAATTTGTTGACTGCTAGTGTACAGAAATACAACTGAATTTTGAGTGTTGATATTGTATTAATTCAATGAATTATCTCTAATAGTTCTTTTGAGGATTATTTCTAAATATAAGATCATGTATTCTGTGAATAGACATAGTTTGATTTCTTTTCCAATTTTGACACATTTTATTTATTTTTCCTCTATTTTCTCTGGTTAGAACTTCAGTACAGTGTTAAAGTGTGGTGACAAAATGGGGCACTCTTATTTTGTTCTTGGTATTAGGGTTTAAGTTTTCAGTCTTTTACCACCGAGTATAATGTTAGCTGTGGAATTTTAGTAATACCTTTTTTTTTTTTTTGAGACTGAGGAAGTTCTCTTCTATTCCTTATTCTTTAGTGCATTGTTTTTGTTGGGAGTGTTCTGTACATGTCTGCTAAGTCTAGTTGATTTAGTGTTGCTCAGTCCATTATTTCCTTACTGATATTATGTCCGGTTGTTCTTTCCATTATTAAAAGGGGAGTATTGAGGTCTCCAACTATTATAGTAGAGCTCCTCAATTTTTGCTTCAAAAAACTGGGGGCTCTGTTGTTATGTACATATTGTTCATAGTTGTTTTATCTTCCTGATGGATTGACCCTTTTTTCAAAATGTAATGTCCTTCAACATCTCTGGTAACAATTTAATAACTTAGTCTATTTGATCTATCATTTGTATAGCTACCCACCTAGGTTTCATTACTATTTGCATGGAGTATCTTTTTCCAACCTTTCAGTTTTTTTTAAAAGATTTTATTTACTGGGCGCCTGGGTGGCTCAGTTGGTTAAGCAACTGCCTTCGGCTCAGGTCATGATCCTGGAGTCCCAGGATTGAGTCCCGCATCGGGCCCCCTGCTCAGCAGGGAGTCTGCTTCTCCCTCTGACCTTCCCCCCTCTCATGTGCGCTCTCTCTTTCTCTCTCTCAAATAAATAAATAAAATCTTTAAAAAAAAAGATTTTATTTACTTATTTGACAGAGAGACACAGCAAGAGAGAGAACACAAACAGGGGGAGTAGGAGAGGGAGAAGCAGGCTTCCCGCTGAGCACGAAGCCTGATGTGAGGCTTGAGCTCAGGAACCTGGGATCATGACCTGAGCCAAAGGCAGACCCTTAATGACTGAGCCACCCAGGCGCCCCCAACCTTTCACTTTCAACCTATTTATGTATCTAAAGTGAGGCTTTTGTAGCTATAGAGTGAAATAATTTTTAAAAATTAACTCCTTTGTCTTTTATTGAAGAGTTTAATCAATTTACACTTCAAGTTACTACTAAGTATGACTTCTGCCTATTTAGCTATTTGCTTTCTGTATGTCTAATATTTTGTTTCATAATTCCTTCCTACTTTGTGTGCATACCATTTTGATTGCCTTTGTCATTTTTCTGTATATTTTTGTTATTTTTTTGAGTGGGTACCGTGGGGATTACAGTTTACATATTGAACTAGTAGTATTTGAATTTCAGTTGATATTAACTTAGCTTTAATAGCATATAACAACTGCTCCTATACAGTCGCCCCTTATGTTCTTATTGTAAAAAACTACTTCTTTATAAACACAGATGAACAGATGTTTAATACACTCAAAAGCAGATTTTTATTATTGTTTTCTACATTTGTCTTTTAGGTCACACAGAAAAAATTGAGTGAGAAAACAAAACTATAATAATACTGGCTTTTATATTTACCTATATAGTTACCTTTACTAGTGTTCTTCATTTGTTCCTATGGCTTAGAGGTAGTGCTCGTTTCCATTCATTTCAGTCTGAAGAACTCCATCTGGTATTTCATGTAGGCTAAGGATATTAGTGTGAACTTCCTCAGCTTTTGTTTATCTAGGAGTCTCTTAATTTCACTATCAATTTTGAAGCACAGTTTGCCTGATAATGAATTCCTGGTAGATTTTATTTTTAATCTTTCAAACTTTAAATATCTCATGAGATTGCTTCCTGGCCTCCAGTTTCTGATGAGAAATAAGCTGTTAAACTTCTTGAGAATCCATGAGAAGTTGTTTCTGTCTTGCTACTTTCCACATTCTTTTTGTCTTACAGAAGTTGATTATATGCTTGCCAGGGATCTCCATGCATTTCTCATAGTTGAAGTTCATTGAGTTTCTTGGATGTGTAGGTTAATGTTTTTGATAAATTTGGGTGGTTTGCAGATCTTATTTCTTCAAATATTCTTTCTGCTCTTTCTTCCTTGTCCCTTCCTTCTAGGACTCCTATTACATCAGTATTCTTTTTTTTTTTTTTTTAAGATTTTATTTATTCATTCAAGACACAGAGATACAGAGAGAGAGCATGAGCAGGGGGAGAGGCGGAGGGAGAGGGAGAAGCAGGCTCCCGGCTGAGCCAGGAGCCAGACATGGGGCTTGATCCTAGGACCCTGGGATCGTGACCTGAGCCGAAGGCAGATGCTTAACCATCTGAGTCACCCAGGTGCCCCGTTTTTTAAGTTTTATTTATTTATTTTAGAGAGAGGGTATGTGTGCAGGGAGGAGGTGGGAGGGAGGGGGAGAGAGAGAATTGTCAAGTAGACTCCCCATTGAGTGTGGAGCCCGATGCAGGACTCGATCCCAGGACCCCAAGATCATGACCTGAGCTGTAATCAAGAGTCAGCTGCTCAACTGACTGAGCCACCCAGGTGCCGCCCCTATATCAGTATTCTTGATAGTGTCTATGGTGTCCCAAAGGTTTCTTGGTCTCTGTTCATTTTTATTTTTTCCCCTTTCTTCTTCTTTTTCCCTTTTCTTCTGCTCACACTGGATAATTTCAATTAACCTATGTTTAAGTTCACTGATTCTTTATTCTTCTTGTCAATCTGCTATTGAACCCTCTAGTGAATTTTCAATTTTGGTTATTTTACTTTTTAGCTCCAGAATTTCTATTCTATCCCTTTACCATAATTTCTACCTCTTTATTAGTATTTTCTAATTGTTGAAACATTATTCTCCTACTTCTTAGTTCTCTTCCATGGCTTCCTTTAGCCAAATATGTTTAAGACAGTTGATTTAAAATCTTTACTTAGTAAGTGGAATGTCTGGCCACCTCAGGAACACCATCATTATCAGGTTAACCTGGTAATCATGCTTAAGATATACAATCTGGAGATATCCTTAGATATCTGTAGCGAAGTCAGCCTGCTCAGAAGCAGGCATTCTTTGTAACAATAAGAAATTGTAGAGGACCCATGTATCTTCATTTAGAGACTGGTCCAATGAGGATCTAAAAAAGCAGTTATCTCTATGTTTACTAACATGAAAACAACTCCAAGACACATGGTATGTAAATATTTAAATTTACAAAATATAATCAAACATTTACTGAAGAATATTTTCTCAAATATAAATGCATTTTTGTAAGATTTTTATAATAGTTACTAAAGAGAATATTGGTTCCTGGTGAAGACAATCAGTGATGGTGGAAGATAAGATGGGAAGGGGATATTTTACTTCTTAGGTTCTAAACTCCATCACTGTGTGGAACTGAACCACAGAAATATATACCAGAGAGGTTTAATACAAAAAAACAAAAAACAAACAAAAAAACAACATTTAACAATAATTAGTAAAATCAAAATTTAGCCCCAGCCTCTCTAATGACAGAAAGTTCTGCTGTTATGTGTTGGCTAAATTATAAACATTTTTATCTAAAAGATCTGCTGTGTAAGAGTTCCTAAGACCTCAAGAGTTCCATAAAGACCTCATGGTCTTTATGAGATGGGTGTGCAATGAATAATTTAAAGAACACTTAGACAAGTTGGTTGATTCTACATTTTAAAACTAATTATGTAAATAAAACAAAACACCCTCTCTATTCCTTATTCCTACTTTGAATTTCCCATTCTCTTCCAAAGTATTAGTATTTTGAAGTCAGAAATATACTAGTTTCCAGTTTAACGTCAGAAGACATTTATAAAATTAGAAAAAGCAAATATCCCCCATCAGTCTTCTTTTCCAGAGTTTCTCAAGTATTTGTGCACATTAATAAATACATCACTTACATATGTAATCTTTTTAATCTTGATTTATATGAGCTGAAAGGGCATCCATAAGGGGTCTCTGAAGAATCCTTAATGTCCAACCTCACTGACACCACAGAGTCTACTCCCTATCTCCAGTCAATGCCTGCACAGAAAATTCTTCACAGGATGACCACCTAAAAGCCTCTTCCCAAGTTCCATGTCACTGGGTCACAGTGAGATGGAATCTGCATGGAGATGAGAGGAGACCGGGAGAAAGTGTGAGTAAACATTTTAGGCAAGAGAACAATCAACTAAAAATATGACTTTTACCTGGGGAAGAGCCATTCCTCCTTTTTCCCCTCTTCTTCTGGGCTTCTTTCTCAGATAAGGTTATTCTGTGTGACAAAAAGAATGTTTAATGCTCAGAATCAACATAACCCCTTCCTCTGCCACAATATACATACTGGGAGAACCTTAATATGGGGGAAAGACAGCCCTTTGCTGCTAACTGCAACAGGAGGGAGACAGGGACAATAACTCCTATATGGAGGGCAACAAGTGCATTTTTCACCCATTTCTTCAGAAAGCCCTCCCCTCCTGCTGAAACCCACACATTCTACTGAAACTGCATTGTCTTTTGTCCCCTTGGCACTTGGCCAAAGGAACTGCCGCATTCAAGTTCTTGGCTCCTCCCTAGGCAGCCAGCATCCAATAAATGGTTGATGCAGGATACAGAAGCCTGTCCATTCCATCAATTTGGACCAACTCTTTTTTTTTTTTTTTTTTTGGACCAACTCTTGATCTTAAGGGCCACCCCAGCTCCAGAGCTCCTCCCAAAATCATTTCAGAGATCTTATTAGCTCAGATTCAGAATTCCTGGTCTATCATCTCCATTTCACAGGCGGGTGCACTGAGTCTCAGAGGTGGACTATTTTTACCAAGTTACCCTTAAGAGGTCTGAATTGAATGAGCAGACCTGGGCATTAGTAAATTCTGAAATGGTAGCCCAGACAGGTTTAAGTAGAAAGGGCTTGTCCTAGTTCCAGATTACCTTTCATGTTCCTGAACAAGAGAAGATTCTCTTTAATGGGTTTAATCAAACCCAAGTTAATTTAATTCCTCTTTTCCAGAAAAAAATATAATAAAAAATATATGAAATTGAAAATAGTTCCTAGTCTTGAAAAACATGAAGAAGGGTCACCTGTGGAGATGAGATCTGAGCAATCTCTGCATCATAAACAGATGGGCTCTGTTGGAATAAAGTTCCACATCAATCCAGCCCATCCTCCCAACATCTGCACAGAAAAGACAAAGGGGACTTGAGGGGAACATTTACTTAGTTGGAAGCTTCTGCTCAGAGCCCAGTAATTTCATCAGATCACTTAAAGGAAGGGAACTGCTGAATATGAAACTAACTGTCTAAACTAGATTTTGAGTGTTAAAAAAGAAAATCATCAACATCCTTAATGGATGCATAATGAAATACTATAAAATTATTTACCAGACATCAAACAATAATTCCACTACACGGTAAAGTAGAAAGCACATAAAACTCATAATCTGAACAAAAAATTAAGGCAAATCATTTCGAAATTAAAAGATATCCAGTGGATTCTGCGATTAAGGTTAACACAAGGGTGAAGCTACATCAGATTTAGAAAAGAACGACATGAGCCACAGAAAAAAGGGGGAAAGAGAAATGGTACTGTTAATAATGGCCATTTTGGAAAGCACCGTGCGGTGACACAAAGTCTTCCCCCATTTCTTGGAAAGGAAGAGGCTGACCCGGAACTGACTACGCCAGGCCTCTGCCCTCTAAATGAATTGGGGTTGCAAATGGAATCACCTTCTGATGCAATAATTAGAAAGTGCAGATGCCTCAAACACCTGGTTTCACAACTCTCACTCTCTTCTGCATCACTGAAACAACTCAACAAAAAATTTTTTTAAAGATTTTATTTATTTATTCATGAGAGACACACGGGGGCGGGGGGGGGGCGGCGGCGGGCAGAGGGAGAAGCAGGCTTCCCGCCGAGCAGGGAGCCCGATGCGGGGCCCGATCCCAGGACCCGGGGGCCGTGACCCGCGCCGAAGGCAGACGCTTAACCATCTGAGCCGCCCAGGCGCCCGACTCAACCCATTTTAATTACAGAGCCACAAATCAGTACTTCCCAACTCCATACTCCACATCCAGTCAATTCAGTACTCACCTGGGTTTGGGTCCTGCGCCTTCTCCGAGACCACTATGTGTTTTGTTCTCTGTATCTGTCTCTTTGTCCTTGTTTCTCTTCTCTCCTTTTGTCCATCTGGGTTTCCCTGTTTCCGCATCCTTCTGTCTCCCTCCCTCGCTCTTCCTCCTCCGACACTTCGACCCCAGTCTGCGGCAACCTGTTTCAATCCCTGCCGTTCTTTCTGCCCAAACTTTCTGACGGCCCCTAACTCCGCAGACCCCGGCCTCCTGCCCGCCATCTCTGTCGCCCCCCTGCCCTCCCTGGAGCGGAGCGAAGGGCCTGCATCCACCGTACGGAGGAGGCCCTGTGCCGACGCGGGTGGCGGCGGGGGCGGGGGCGGGAGTCCGAGAAAGGTTCTGAGCAGGAAAGCGACCGGCAGCGCGATCGGAGTCTACAGGGGCCGAAGGCAGCGATGCTGGCGCCCGCACCCGCCTCAGAGCGATTTTAACCGGAATCGCAGACTCCCGGGTCCCGCACCGAGCGACAGGACTCGGAACGTCATCCGGCGACGCCGCGAGAGGCGATAGGAACGACCTCCCGGCTAGAGGGACGAGGGGGTTCAGGGGTTTTACCTTACCAGGCGACCCCCGAAACTGGGCGTGGAGGAGGGGCCTGAAGAGCGCGCCGGCGGCACGAACCAGAAAAATGGAGACTCGCTCACCGGAGCGCTCCCGTTGCTCCGCGCGATCCGCTTCCGGGTCTGCAGGCAAGCGCGCGTGCGCCGCGCGGCGGGGCGGGGGCTGGGGGCGGGGCTGGGGGCGGGGCCTGGAGCGCGCGGGGTCCCGCAGTTTTCGCGTGTGTTTGTCCCTTCGCCCGGCGGTTTCAGTTTCTGCTTTTGGATTCCTTCGAATTCCGCTGGTGTCTTTTGGAGCGAGGCTGGGTCCGACATTAGGGAAGTGTGGGCCGCTTTTATCGGAAGCGGCGGTATTTGACAAGCGGAGCCCGGTGCCCGTCCAAACTTTGGCGAGTGGTGGAGACGCGCCTCCTGCGAGGGAGGCGGAGCAGCGCGGGGACCGGGGGCGGGACGGGGGTCCTTGTGGAGCGACCGAGCTGACAATGGCAGCTCCTAATTTAATTGAGCAAAAGCCGGGGCGGTGAGTGTGGGTGAGGGAAGCCAGAATGAGAAATGCAGAACGGCTCTGTGGGGAACGTGCAGTTTTGTACTGACGTCCCCCACAGCTCTTCTTTTTCACGGAATGGTCTCTTCTGCTCCCCCATTCGCTGGGCTGCGCTCCTGGGACTTCGGCCAGACCCTGGGCTGCGGAGACGGAGGACTGGCACGTTCCTCTAAAAGAACCCAAATTTCTGCCTGTATGGATGTAAATTAATTTCTCTCTTTAAACTTGATATCGGAATCCGCACCTCTCCAGGTGAATTAGAAATCCAAACGCCTTTGAAACCTACCGGATGGCATCCTGTGTTTTGCTTACGGAAACTAAATATCGTTGCAATTTCAGTTTTCTAAAATCTTTATTCTCAGTTATTTGGAAGAGCATTTTTAACTTGAAGATTAGGTATTTTAACCGACCTTTTTTTCAGTTTCTAAATGCTTTTTTAAAAAAAATATTTATTTATTTGACAGAGCGCAAGAGAAGGGACATAAGCAGGGGGAGTGGCAGAGGGAGAAGCAGGCTTCCCGCTGAGCAGGGAGCCCAATGTGGGGCGCGATCCCAGGACCCTGGGATCATGACCTGAGCCGAAGGCAGATGCTTAAGACTGAGCCACCCAGGCGCCCCTCTAAATACTTTCTATCAAATGCAGATAAGGAGCCTTGTAAAAGGTGTACTCCTTCAGAGATGTTTAACTTTTTCCTAGTACTGACGAAATGTTAGTTTGGAAATATTTCCAGAGACATGTGCTAAGGATGTCTGTTCTTTATGTGAACAATACAAGCAAATAAAACTTTTTTTTCACATTTTCAGTACCATCATATACACTTAATAATTGCATATGAAATATGAAAGTTACTAGCTCCTCTTCTGTTTCCTGTGAAATTCTGAGGGTGGTGTGGCTGGACCTGCTTTTCACACCCTCTCTGTTAGGTGACTGCTCACTCGCTGCTTAAATCTCTGCAAGGAGTGGATGAACAAATGACTACACATCGTTTAAACAATTTATAATAGTTTTTGGCTATTGTATCATTTTAGGGAGTTGTGTATTCCTTTTGCAGCATGCAGAGAAGACCCTAGACCTGGCTCCAGAGAACAAAAGGGCTGATTGTTGGGAAACATGGAGTGATCAGGGCAGAGGGGTTCAGCAGCCACCAACTGGGATTTTCAGAAAGAGCCGAATAAAATGAAAAGGTGGAAGAGAGCATAAAAAGATACAAAGGCGCTTACCAAGACAAGGATGCTTTGGGTAGCCCTCATGTCGGGAAATTCCGGAGGAGATGTTGTTCCTATGAATGTGCTGGACCCCCTGCTTCTATCTTAAGAGGTTGAAAACTCTGGAGATGCTGGCCCAGATCACGAATCCCAACCGAAGACATGAGGGAAGATTAAAAGTACAGCAAGTGGTGATTGTGTGATCTTATTCAGAATCCCTGGTCATATTTCTTTGTGACATTTTTGCTGTTCATTTTGCTCCCAGTCCTGGGAGGAGGGAAAGTGGCATTTACCAGCATGTCCAGGATCAAGCAGCTGTTTGTTAGAGAGGTACCGGGGAGCTTTTATTTTAAGCTCTATTATCTTGGAGTTTCTGGGGCCAATTATCATGCTCTGGAAGACATTCAAGAAGCAGTGGTGCCAATGGATACACCACTGGCCATTCTGAACATACAAAAAAAACTTGTATCAAAACTCAACAAGGACATTTTTCAACCCCAGAGCTGTCAGCGAGTGATTCCTTTAAGGACAATGAGCCAGACATTGGCTACAGTGAGGTGGTCGAGAAGGAGGTCATAGGAAAGAATTCAACCATGTTTTACTTATTTTTTACCATATTCTCTTTTGTTTGACCTTTACCTTGCTATAGGATGTGAAGAATAAGACCATTTGTTGTCATTTTTAAAAAGGATTTTATTTTTTTAAGTGATCTCTACACCCAGTGTGGGTCTCAAACTAATGACCCAGAGATCAAGAGTTGTGTGCTCTTCTGACTGAGCCAGCCAGGCACCCCTCTTTTATTGTCATTTTGATAGGAATTCCCATTTCCCAAATGCCAAGCATTAATGATGTTATCCCCACTGTAGTTTTTGCTGATTATTAACTTTTCTTATGCACTTTGGCATACTTCTGAATTTTTAACTTCACTAATCTAATAGTCTGTTCATAAATAAACATCTCATAAGGATAGCTATACTCATTTTGTTTCTTTCCTAGAGTTTTTGTCGCTATTCTTGTTATTCTATAAGGTTTTTGTAGTAACATCGCTAGTTTGAAAAACTGATGGTATCTATATCAGGATCAAACTAAATTTATAAACTAGCTTAAGGAAAATTGACCTTTTTACAATATTGAGTTTTTCTACCCCAGAACATGTTGTAAATTTACATTCACTTATTTTTACTTTCATATATTTCAGGAATGTTTTATAGTTTTCCTCATATAGGCTTTACACATTTTTGTTATATTTATTCCTGGTTAGTATATTTCATTTTATGTTACGCTTTTGTAATTGCAGGCTCTCCCATTGTAACTTGTAAATGATTGTTGGAAGCCTATGTACAGGGGTGCCTGGGTGGCTCAGTCAGTAGATGGTGTGACTCTTGATCTTGGGGTCGTGAGCTCAAGCCCCATGTTGGGTGTAGAGGTTACTTAAAAATAAAATAGCAATAACAATATATATACAAAAATAAAATAACAATATATCCTATTAGCTTACTGAATTATTTTTCTTAATAGATTTTCTATCAGTTCTTTGTGTTTCCAGATATATACTTGTATTGTCTGCAAACATAGTTTTTACGTCTTTGTTTCTAATTCCTATGCCATTTTAAATTGCCCTGGCTAAACCTCCAACTCAATGATAAATGAATGGAACAATGATAAATAAATAGAACACACTAGCTTTTTTAGTGTGGTTTCTGGCCTTAGTGGAATATCTCTAGTGTGTTTCCCTGAGAGCAAGATGAACACTTTCTTTTATCAAGTTGGGGAAGATCCATCAGTTCCCAATTTTGAGTGTTTTAATTTAATATCCGTACATGTTGAATTCTCCCAAATTATGTTTTTGTAACTACAAGTAAGATTTCTTGATTTCTCTTAATAAATATGATGAACAATATTAATGAATTTTCTAATAGTGAATCATTCTTGAATTCCAGATATAAATTCTACTTGGTCATCATATGTTATTTGTATATTATTTTTCAGGGGTTTTGGCAATATTTATTTTAGATGGTACCATCTGTAGGCTGATGTGAGATCTTTCTGTGGTATTCTTTCTGGTACAAACTTTAGGATGTTTTAGTATCAGAATTTTATTTGACATGTAGAGATAATTTGGACATTTTACTTCTTCTGTAATGTTCTTGAAATGAGTAAGTAGCATTGGCTTATCTGCTACTTAAAAGAATGGAAGAATCTGGGGACACCTGGGTGCCTCAGTCAGTTAAGCATTTGACTCTTGATCTCAGCTCAGGTCTTGATCTTAGGGTTGTGAGTTCAAGCCCTACGTTTGGCTCCATACTGGGCATGGAGCCTACTTAAAAAAAGGTGGGGGGGAGAATCTGCTTGCTAATCTGATTCTGGTGCTTTTATTTGTGAGGGACTCCTTATAAATGTCTTCCTTCTCTATGGGTATTGGTCTGTTTAGACTCCCTATGTTACTGAAGGCAATTTTGGTAAGAGATATTTTCCTAGAAAGTGTCCATTTTATTTAGGCTTTCTGGTTAATTGTTTTAAGTTGGGGAAAACATGGCAAATATTTTTAAATCTCACTTATTGACATCATGTTCTTTCTTTTGCATTGATTGAAAATTTTAAAAATTTATTGTACTTATTAAAAATCTTAAAAATAGAAAATCCTTCTTGGGTCATTTGTAAGATTCTTTCTCTCTGCCCATAAGTTAAATGACGGTGGTACTCAGAGGTCTGAGGATTAACAAAGACTTGGACTGGGGTAAAAGAAGTTCTCAGGGAAGCACGGAGTCCCATGAGGCACCTGTGCTTCTCTGGTGGGCTTTCATGGCTCAGACCTCAGCATTTCCTCCTTCCATGTGAGACCCTGTCTGCTTCCAGGAATAATGGAAAAGGAAGAGTCTCTCTCATACACTTCGGTGGACCTTTGGATATGCTCATTAGAAACTTCTAATAGATCCTGGTAATTAAAAAGTTTTTCAGAACTGTTCCCCAAGTGTGAACTGTCACTGTCACTACAGGTGACATGATGATTACATTTCTTTGGGGAGGTGAGGTCACAGAATCACTAACCCATATCTCAGGGTCTGGCTTCCTCCCGTCCACACATGCTTTGGCTGCTACTTTACACCCGGCTCACAGTCCTGGCAGCAGGAAGGAGTCTGTGAGTATCTCCTAGTTTAGTCCGAGACTAGAGTCTCGAAGGTTAGGAGATGCAGCTGGAATCTGGGTAGGAGCAGGTCTGGGAAAGCAGTCCTGAGGGACAGGCTGGGCTTGTGGAGAGAGACCACTAAGTCAGTGCATGACTGCTGCTAATGTAATTTAACAATATCCTCATTTAAAGGGGTTCTTGGTGTTTGATCCAAGTGCTTTTGGAGTCTGAATTTTAAGAT